AAGGACAAAGCTTTTTTTATTCTCCACACGTTCGTCACCTTGCACTTCTACTTGTCAGAGTCTGGTTGACGTCAGCAATTCACATTTAGTAGTTTCTAGAGGTTATGAATATACAACTTCCAAACTTTATGAAGGACAAAGCTTTTTTTATTCTCCACACGTTCATCACCTTGCACTTCTACTTGTCAGAGTCTGGTTGACGTCAGCAATTCACATTTAGTAGTTTCTAGAGGTTATGAATATACAACTTCCAAACTGCAAGAAGAACAAAGCTTTTTTTTATTCTCCACACGTTCATCACCTTGCACTTCTACTTGTCAGAGTCAGAGTCTGGTCGACGTTGGCAATTCACATACATGTAGCAACACATCTGTTTTTTTTCTGTCCAACAGACTTGTACAATTGAACAAAAGCTTGCCACATGTCACTAGGATACACTTTTTAAATTCAAAATTATAGTGAAGATAATTTTTTTCTATGACGTTTAGAGGTACTTGTTTGTTTGTTTGTAGTTAAGCACAAAGCTACACAAAGGGCTACCTGTGTTCTGCCCACCACGGGTATCGAAACCCCGTTTCTAGCGTTGTAAGCCGGCAGACATACCGCTGTGCCACTGGGGGGGGGGGCTGAGATACTTGACGGACAAGTGATACTTACGTTACTAAACAAGGTAAAGTACAATATTAAAATGTAAAAAAAGTTGTTCGTGATACTTAATCACGATTGTTCGGGATAATTTTTGTGTCTTTATTACGGCCGCTAAAGTAACATAGTAATACAGTTTGCCCCTGAAAAAAAATGTCCACCTTTCGAAATCGCTTGGTTTATAGGGTTTTTATGATTTTGTATCAAGACTTCTTGAACCTACGTGTTTTTCTGACATCATACAGTAATACCCTGATAACCTTCATACTTAGTAGTTCCTTGAAGGCAAGACAGTTGTGCATCTAGTTATGTAAAAGTATTACTATTGCAGTGAAGTTTTGTTTGTTTAGCTTTATATATAGCTACCCTTCTTATCTTTAGATTTCATATACTCCCCCCTCCCTCCAGCATCAGTGCGTTTATAGAACTAGAATTCGGGTTTCGATATCCTCGATAGGCATAACACTGATATATATTGTTTAGTTTATGCTTAAAAGCAAAACAAACAAACAATCAAATTTTCTTATAACTAACGTGAATATAGACCTGAAAATAGCTATTCTATGGGAAATTATATAACCGAGTTGAAATAATTAAGTTTTGTAATTTATTTTGGAAGCATTGTTGTGATGTACAAGAGTAAACACTAGCGCTGAAAGATAATAGTAAGTTAATCACTCTCATGATTAATTATGGATTTTTTAGGAAAAAGGATAATGAAAAGCTACTTCGCTCCTTTTTTTTAAAAAAAGGGGGATAAGAATTAACTGCCATTAATACGCTAAGGTGTAACTAGATATATAAATACTATGTTCAGAAGGTGTTGATTTTATAAATATCTATATTTCGTCATTGGTCGTAAGGCGATAAGTTTGAGCGCTTATAACGATAAAAATCAGGTTTCTATAACCGTGGTGGGCAGATGAAATTCGTTTGGTCGCCATATTCTCTAAATCTTTTCTAGATTTTACAAACTATTCAAACATTTTGAATATGCAAACCCAAAGCTGCAAACCCAAGTTACTTTGAATATGTACAGTGCTCTATGAAATGCGTGCATTAGTTTTTAATATAATACTTCTGGTGAGAAGCGAGCTATTGAAATATCGGTTGTAAAAATTGATATTTTCTCTCTCATGTGTTTCAATTCTACTTTATTGTGTAAAAAGTTTTGAATTACATGGTTACTATGTTATGACTATAGACACTAAACGGTACATTGATGATAAAATTCATTTTATGTTAATTGGATAACTTTTTAACCACAATTTAATACGTTTCTAATTACTGCCTTCATCCTATTTTATTTAAGATGTAACGTAACATGATTTTATTCTGAGAAAATAAACATTAGCGATATACTATGTTTCCAGTAATTCATGTTCTTGTGTTGAAAAATTAAATTCTATGAAAATAGAGTTCTGATATCGATTAATTTCACTCTTGTTTTTTTTCACGTTTAAAGTATATATAATTTAATAAAGCTCAACACATAACACTTGCACAGCTAAAATGTTACCATACGGAAAAAAAAAACTTATGTCGCTTCTTGTAAATTTTCAGTGTCTCCGAATAAGAAATAATCTCACATATAACTATTCGCAATCTAACGCCGAAAATGTTCTTCCCACCTGTGTATTTCGACTTTGAATGTATGAAGAAACTATTTCTGTCTGTGTATTTAAGTTTTTAACTAGCCAACTAGTTTTTCTTTTAAATATGGCGTGTGAAATTGATTGGTACATTGGGGCAACCAAGATTTCTATAGATCTATAGAAGTAAAGACTATCGATTGGTTGTCCAAAAAAAAATACGTAATAGTGATACAAAGTAACTAGACTGAAATATACGCCAGTTTTACAATAAATCTAGGTGTTGTTAAAATTCTGGATATACAAATATTTTTAAAACTAATTGTTTCATTTCAAAGAAAAGTAAGAAATAGAATGAAAACTAGATGTATTATTTCCCAGAGGAGAGAATACTGAGTCAGCGGATTACCATAACTACGTTTTGACTCTGATCTTTTTTTCTAATATTAGCAAATAGACTTAGTATTTTAAAATATGTCATATTTAAAAAATCATGCTAACCTAAAAAGTTCATCCTTGATTCACTGTTTCTAAAAATTTACGTTACTGTGTTTAAAGGGAAAAAACTAATGTTTGATTGATTCAGTAATGGTTGAAATACATATACATATATATATACTAGCGAAAGTATTCCAGCTTCGCTCGGGTTTATATATTCTAGATGAGTATGTGCCAGATAGAATAATTCGATTACTGTCTGCCCATTATGATTTTAGTGACAGGGGCGCAATAGGGCCGAGAAACCTTGGTGTAGTGAAAGTTGGTATGATTTAAAGAAATCAGTAAATAAACTTGAAGTATAGACGTCATAGCTTCAAGAGAAAAGAACCTAAA